CGGCACCTCTCTTCTCTTCTTTATAATATACATACTTTTCTCTCGTTGGAACCACTACAACATATTTCTTTTTTATATATATATATATATATATATATATATATATATATATATATATATATATATATATATATATATATAATGGTGTTACTTTAAATTGAAACCTCGTCCTGGGTATGACGATAAACTACACCCGAGTTCTGTGTACGACGATAAACTATATCCGACCCGATGTAGTAGCACCTGTTAGGGTCTCGGATATGGGCAAATAGTCATCCCCACCCCCAAACTCGGGTCAAAACACTATGAAAGTGTAAAAAATAGGTTTTAATACCAGCAATATATTTTTGTAAAATTATTACCATCAACGAACTTTGAGGGAAAATATTATTACCAGTAATTAATTTTTAAATGGAAAAATATTACAAGCAATGAATTTTAAAGGAAAAATATTACAAGCGATAAAATTTTGAAGAAAAAATATTAACAGCAATTAATTTTTTTAAGCATATATTATTACTACCAATACATTTTTGAAAAAAAAAATATTACAAGTAATACATTTTTGGAAAAAAAAAATATTACCAGCAATATTTTTTTAAAAATAATATTACTAGCTATATATTTTTGATAGAAAAAAATATTACCAGAAATAGATGTTTGATAAAACAATATATTACCAGGAAATAAAGTTGTCGGCATTAAACAACTGTTAAGGAGTCCACACCTTTTCATACAAGTGGAATCGCCCAGTGTGTACTTGTACTGCTGCCAGTGAATATTAGAGAGTGATACAGTGAGAGAGTGAGAGTGAGAGTGAGAGTGTGAGGCAACCGCTTTGTAGGAGTCACAGTTGCGAGCACGTAGACTCAGAAGGAAGTCATACTTCGATACTGAATTTCCCAGACTTTATATATACTATATATATATATATATATATATATATATATATATATATATATATATATATATATATATATATATTATTGCTACTAACTGCATTTCTGGATCTACTAACCGTATTACCAATTGTATTATTACATCAATACATTTATTTGCTATATTTCATTCCTGCGTTTGTCATTCATTTAAGACCGGATTTCATCCCGGAATCCACAATAACCCATTGAGGTTGATATGCCGTAAAACATAACAAACCAAACCAAACCTACTTTCACTTCAAATTACATAAGCTATCCATTTTAGTCGTTGCTGCTGTTGCTAGTCCTTGGGTGATGTGGTTTCTGTTAATTCGTACACTTCTTTGTTTGTGATTCCGTAGCACCAGTCCTTGTTTTTCGAAGAATGATGCTCCTTGCTAACACCTATCTCGTTCATTTGCTCTTGAGATGACAATTTTTTGAAAAAAAATATTACAATACATTTTTGGAAAAAAAAATACTAGCAGCATTATATTTAAAAAAAAAAAAAATAGCAGCAATACATTTTTAAAAAATAAAAAAACATTACTAGCAATAAAAATTTTGTCGGCTTCAAATAACCCATTAAAGTTGATATGCCGTAAAACAAAATAAACGAAACTAAACTCAATTGAAATCATTTTTTCTCGCCATGTATTTTAACGATTTCTTAAAGTTACGTATTTTCATAATTACTGAAAAAAAAAACTAGTGCCTTTTTCAACATTCTTCTGTGAAATCTATAATTTATAGATTAGATATGGCGATTTACTAAGCGCAGCCTCGGTTTGGGACAGGCCGGAAAGTATAGCAACCTAGTGAAGACAGAACAGAAAGTGAGGTATTTTTTTTTAAAGATGATATGGGAAAAAAATCGTCGGTTTAAACTATCACTAAAACAATATTAAATTGTCACCCTTGTCGACAGAAGCCATAAAATATTAAAACTTTATCAAGTATTATTAAAAATAAAAACTTTGTTTAGGTTGTATTGATTATTTTTTATTACTACTCGACCTCAGCTCTCATACTTTTATACTAAAAAAACAAACAAAATTATAAGAACAATGAATATTCTTAATGAAGAATAAAATTTAAAATTTATATCCCCTGCAGAAAATACTTAAAATAACTTGAAAACATTTTAGAAAAATCTGGACTTACTTTGACGAAAGTTCGACTAAAAATGCGCGGGGTTTTTCTTTTTAAATAATTCTTGTAGCCTGCAAACACTGACTTGCATAATTGATTGCTTCTCAGTGTTTCACTACAAGGTAAAGGTTAACAAACTCATCGAACACACTGACAAAAAAATAATGGGCTTGATACACACTGGCTTCTCAGCAAATAGCATTTGCTTGAAGCTAGTTTTAATAATTTCGCATTGTTTCATTTTTGTTTCCACATTGACAATGTCATTTATTTTTTTACTTGCCGTGCAAATATTCCGTTCAGAGAGCACTTCGTATTCACGATATATATCGGTCTTAATCACGGATTCAAATCACAGCGCAATTTGATGGGAAGAGATGCCGAAATTATCTTGTTTTCTCAGCAGACACACGACCACCCCCGTTCTGATCCGGCTTCTTGGAGTACAACGGCACACACCGTTTGATGGACGTCTCTCCAGTCAGTTTTGTCGGATTTCTGCTCTGCCCGAGGGTTGATTTCCAAATTTTCAATTTTTTTTTTTTTTTACCGGCGAATGATGAGTTCATCTTCCGCTGTTTGGTTTTCTTTTTAGTCTTTTTTTTTTATTTATTTATTTCCCCGAGCACTTACCAGCTTTTATCTCTATCTATAAAAGGAAGGATGTGTGTGTGTGTGTGTAACGAATGCCCGGCCGCAATTTTCGACGGATTTGCACCAAAATTTACATGCACATGCTCCAAGTTAGCAGGACGGCCAAGGCCGACTTTGCATTTCCCAACTCCCATCGATAGTGGAAATAATCGATTATTTCATGCTTCTACGGCAGTTTTCATATAGTTTGCGGCCATTTTCTACTGGCCAGAGTGAGAGCCAATAGCTGGCTGCCACGAATAGGCAGGAAGATTCTATTGGCCAGCGTGAGAGCCAACAGCTGACTGACACGAATATTAATTAGCATGCTAGCATGCAAAAAAAAAACAAAAAAAATCGATAGCTGCATTCGTCACAAGTGGGAAAAATTTAAATCTGCATGGCACTTTACTCCAATTGGCTCATTCGCTTGCTTAAACTCAACGTTGATTCTGATTCCGCAGAACTGGGTTGGGTGTGAAAAAGTATTTGTTGTTAACATTTTTTTTTCATTCGGTTTTTCCAGTTACGAGTCCTTTTTTAAAGCTGGTCGTTTTGTGTTCATTTTGTTTAGTTCTTTTTTTCGTAACAGATTTAATGTTTAGTATAGAACTTAGAAAAAATTCGCAGTGTGAGATAGGCAAGAAGTAAGGCATGTAGCAACATCAGCACGGCAAAGGGCACTCCTTTAAAGGCAAGGAAGGGCAAAAATATTTTAAGTCAAGTGATAGCGATTGCTGTATGAGTCGTACGACTTTTGAATTTAATGCCATCTCTTAGTTTTCCGTTACCTTGAAAAGACTGACGAGAGAAAAAGAAATGATTAGCTATGTAAATGGCGTTGTGTTTTTGTTAATATAAACAGGTTCAAGAGGAAAAGAGGGTAAGGTTTAAGACACATGACTAGAGAAAACGCAAATCGCATAAATATGTACACTTCTATTTGTATTATTCTGCAAATTTGTGTTATTGAATGGAGAATGATTTGTTCTTGTAGTGGTCGAAGAATTTCTTACTGTAAATGGGCCGCGAGTAGAATTAGCTATTCAACCAGTCTCTTCCCACTTACCATTAGGCGTTGTGTGCCACAATAACTGTTTTTTAACCCTATTCACCACATGCAAGGCAATAAAGCCACTGAGACACAAAGAGTTACCTGGCATGGAAGAGTTAAATATAGTAAAATTACGAGAACTAAAGATTAATCAAAAAGACAGTAGATAGCTTTTGAAATTGGATTTAAATTTTTACAGATTAAAGTTGGTTGGAAAACATGGAGCAGGAAGGGAGTTCCACAGCCAAGAAGTTCAAGAAAAAACTGTTAGCATACAATATACGGTTACGTCTCGCCAGTTCAGTTGTAAACTGATGAGAACTTGTCGCCAATCTTGTACTGCGCTTAAATTCAAAATCTCTAGGTACCAAAGCGAAGAACGATATTTAATCTACTTATGTACAGAAATGTGGCTCAAGGCCAAAATGAGGATTATGGAAAAAGGACTGTCTTCTCCTGTCTTAACTCTAAGCTTATCTAGCCACGATCACTGATGCAAACATACCACAATATTCCTTACACCCAAAGAACGCATTATTAATTATCATTCAAAGAACATTCGCCGTAATGCCTCTTGTCTCTATGAAAATCCTAACTGGGGATACCTGGTGTTGTAGGCATGGATGTCGGCTGGTATAAAGGGTTTATGGCTATATAATTTTGAAACAACATTTCTCATACATTCATCGAAGTTAAGGAATGTCGACCCTGGTTAGTACCTAGATGAGTACTGTACTACTACTGTACTGATGCGGCATTCACCCTGGGCGGATTGAGCCGGCTTCTTCCTGTTATGAGAAGAAGATTCTTGGGATAAATTACAGAAGTAGGGTACCCAGGCCTACTCGGATAACGTTCTTGCTTGCCGCGGGATTCCCACAGACGCAGAGACAGGAACGACCAGAAGCCGCCGGTTACCGATGCAGACGCTCCTTGGATTTTCACCAGAGCCCTTCTTAGCCGGCGTGTGTGTCAGACCTGTCCGCCTTGGGTGGCCCTACCAGGAACGAAGTTCCGGGCGGCATAGCTCTGACACTACCGTTTACACCCACCCACCGACTGTGAGGTAAGGGTTGGACCTAGATGAATGATCGCTTAGGAATAAAAGATGCTGTAAGCTTATGTGCGACTGGTATAAAGTGTTTACGGCCATATATCGTTATAACACCGGTTCTCGTGCGATCACCGAAGTTAAGTAAAGTCGACTCTGTAAGCATGGATGTGCAACTGGTATGAAATGCTTACGGTCATATCACGTTGAAAAACTGGTTCCCGTATGTTCACCGAAGTTACGCATCGTCCAGCCTGGTCAGTACTTAGATGGGTGACTGGTTGGTAATACCGGCTGCTTTAATATTAACTAGCCACAATCACTAACCTAATCATAGCCCAATATTCCTTACATCAAAGCAACACATTCTTTCTTATCAATTTTACAACGTTCACCATAATACCTCAAGGTCTCTATAAAAATCCTAACTAGTCCCCGTATGTACAATTCATGTCTGAGGGGAATAAAATAACAATTTTAAAATGAAGAGCGATATTTATTTGTAATATTTAGAAAATGTGTCAGAATGGGGAAAAAGACGGTCTTCTGTCTTAACGTTAAACTTAGCTAGCCACAAACACTGACCCATACATACCACAATATTTCTAACACCAAAAGACCGCATTGTTTCTTTCCATTCTTGCAACATCCGCCGTAATGCCTCATTGTCTCTATGAAATTCCTAACTAGCTCCCATGTGTACAATTCATATCTGAGGAGGGTAGAGGGGAATAAAAAACAATTTTAAAACGATGAGCTCATCCGAACAATTACCATAAAAGTATTTATAGGAAAAGCATAGGGTGGCAATTTTACGTCAGTGGGAAAATGACTAAAAAGGTGGTGCCAGATCAGGTCCAATAATATTGCTGATTCTTTTATTAATAATCTGTAAATATACAGCACGAGCATTTGTTCATTTATCGCAGCAGTATTCTAAGCAGGACGAATGGTAGACTCATAGATATCTCGGATAGATTCTGCAGAGAAATATTGTCCGCACAACATTGCGAAGCAACTTTCTTAGCAGCTGACCTAACAATAGAATCAATATGGTATTTCTACTTCCATTAAATTCCTGGTGTCTCTTTCCGATTCTGTATATAAGTGTCCATTTCGGTTCCATTTTCTTTAAGATGGAATTTACGGTTACATTTAACCAGCTCAACTGTAAATTGGGGAGACCTTGTCGCCAGTCTCGTACTGTAGTTAAAGTGTCTAGGTACTTTGGCAAAGAGCCCGTTATATAAAGATGGTATAAATAAACATAATCACGTACGCTTTTAACGATATCGGGCTATCAACGTTTTCCGGCAAGGACGAGAAGCAGAAAAAAGAAATAAATAAAATAAACTAAGGTGAAGTATTTTGATGGATTTTTCAGATACGATATTCCAAGTAAATAGATCGTACATCTGGACGTCTACTTATGTCATACGACCGTTTTTGGTGGCCTATATATCAGGAGAAACAAAGCGATACTTTATGTGTTTCCGCATTTTCCATGTGACTTAGAATAATTACTTCTCATCAAATGTCCAGTAGGAAGAATTTTTTGGATGGCACCATTTAAGTTCAACGCCACAAATTTGTTCCAATAGATTCTGCCATTCTGTTTGGATAAGTCTTGTTCTTATGTCCATCGTCTTTGTCATGTTGAATTGATAATGTTAATTATATTTTATGAATATGTCCTGAAGATGGTTTATTAGACCGAAACGTCCGACGTTGACATTATATTAACATTAAAACAGCATAATTGCATATAAGCATTTTTCTTTTCTTTTTTCCGTATATTTTTTTCATATATATATATATATATATATATATATATATATATATATATATATATATATATATATATATATAATATTAGTGGAAAATATACATACATACATATGCAAAATATATAAATACCCATACATGTATATTTTTATAAAAACAGCATAAATTGCATATAAGGATTTTTGTTTGTTTTTCCCGTATATTTTTCTTCATATATATATATATATATATATAGATAGATAGATAGATAGATAGATAGATAGATAGATAGATAATATTAGTGGTAAATATACATACATATGCAAAATATATAAATACCCATACATGTATATTTTTATAAAAAAAAAAATTCAAGAGGAAGAATCCAGGTAGAACTCAATGTCTAGGACAGAGTATTATATATATATATATATATATATATATATATATATATATATATATATAGAGAGAGAGAGAGAGAGAGAGCATTATAGGTGTACCGGTTGCGGGTCATATTAGGAAACACAAGGCCATACTGTATGGGTTCCAGCAGTTTACATCTGACTTGGAGTAATTAGCTCTCGTCCATTTTCCAGTACGAAGCATCTCTTTCCATTGCAATTCAGTACCAATTCTGGCCTGTTAAATTTTACCACTGACCAAATCCAGTATCTTGTTGCCGACATCTTAAACGTAAAAAAACAGACATGAAATCAGAGTGCCATTAGATTCTGCCATTGGCCATATCCAACATCCTACTGTCGATATATTAACCGTAACCCAGACAGGGGTGAAATCCGATTGCCATGCCAAAGAACAATAATAATAATAATAATAATAATAATAATAATCATAATGTCAAGAAATTCAGAGGTCTTTTATTCTTTTAAAGTTAGACTGTCGCATTTAGTAGGCTTAATACTCATTCTAATTTAAGTAAAGAACCCTTTTGAATGGATCATAGGCGATTTCATTTTTCAGATATGCATTTTAATTAGCAAGAGGAAGAGCGAAACGAAAGATGCTTTCCAAAAACTAAGCAAAGTATTAAGTATGGGTGAATTTAATGCCGACAAAATGTTCATTGATAATATTTTTTCTACTAATATGGAAAAGAATGAAGATTTTCAATAATATGCGCATATTATTTGGACATGAACCTTTTGAGTCGGAAAATCTTGGAAAGTGGGAGAAATGACATTCTGACTTAATATGGAAATGGGTCATTGAGGTGGAGAAAGGGATAAGAACTAATGTCCTAAACAATTCTTTAGCCAATTTAAGGGAAATCTGTTCCATCGGCGGAGGACTTGATCTCGATGTCCGCTGTTTTTTGTTTTTTTTAAGTTAGACTGTCGCTTTAATAGTAAGCTTAATTCTCTTCCTAATTTCAGTAAAGAATCATTTTGGATGGATCATAGGTGATTTCATTTTCAGATATGCGTTTCAATTAGCAACAGGAACAGTCCAATATGCAAGTTATGAATTACAGAGGACAGAAAATAATGCACCGAAATACGAAAAAGCATCAACAATTAACGAAAGATGTTTTCCAAAAGCTAAGCAAAGTATTAAAAAACAGGAGAATGGTGCTACCCAATGTGTTCCTGAAGCTTGCGGAATAATTATGTCTGATGCATTGTCCAGTCCGAAAAATCTTTTTGGATGGTACTATTTCAGTTCAATGTCACAAATCTATTCTATTTGATTCTGTCATTGACCACATCCTTACTTATTGATCAACCCTCGTAATTTTGAAGAGACATATATTGACTTAATTTTGAAAGCAGTTTCATTATTCTACCTGGTATAAAATTGGTTTTGTATAATTGGAGGCCTTATTAGTCAACCCTCGTAATTTTGGAGAGAAATATATTGACTTTATTTTGATACCAGTTTCATCATTCTATTTGGTCTAAACTTATTTCATGGGATCGGAGGCCTTATCAGTCAACGCTCCTAATTTTGAAGAGAAATGAATTTACATTTTGATACCAGTTTTATTATTTGATCTGGTCTAAAACTTATTTCATGTGATTGGAGGCCTTATCAGTCAACCCTCCTAATTTTGAAGAGGAATAAATTCAGTTCATTTTGATACCAGTATCATCATCCTATTTGGTCTAAAACTTATTTCATGTGATCGGAGGCCTTATCAATCAACCCTTGTAACTTTAAAGAGAAATAAATTGACTTCATTTCGATACCATTTTCATTATTCTATCTGGTCTAAAAATTGTTTTATAGGTTTGAAGACCTTACTTATCAATCAACGTTCGTAAATTTGAAGAAAAATAAATTGACTTCATTTTGATACCAGTTTCTTTATTTTATCTTCTGTAAAATATATTTTATAGAATTGAAGATCATATCAATCCAAATTTGTATATTGAATGTGAATTCAAGTAATGCATCTGAAAAGTCCAAGGTTTGGTGTTTTATTTTATAATAAGCGCAGCTTCGTTGGTCTCATGGTTTAGCGTACCCAGAAAGTATCATAGTCACTATTCAATCTTAATATTAAATCTTACATTCTTAGGCGCCCATCCGAGAATCGGTGAATCATTATTGAAAATTTATTGATATTTTTCAGCCCTCTTATGGAAAATAATTTTTTATTCAATCTTTAAATAATGAACTTCATTCTTTTTCTTTGGTGGGGGGTGTTGTAAGTAACATAAAAAGTAAATAATTTTCAATTAAATTTTATTAAAATGAAAAAAAAAAATATAGCTAGTCTTATTTTTTTTGAAAATTAATTTAAATAAAATATAGTTGAATTCGTAAAACAAATATTCAACACGACTGATGTTGGCCTTAAGTCACGTCTGTCTCTTAATTTTTATTTAACGAAAGTTTTTTCTTTTCTTTTCAAATTAAAATTGGAAGATTTAAAATTTTTGAAATTGAATAAAGAAAAACATTATTTTCCATAAGATGGCCGAAAAATATTAATGTCGATAATACACGCGCGAGCACACACACACACACACACACACACACACACACACACACACACACACACGCACGCACGCACACACAGAGACACACACACACAGAGACACACACACACATACACATACAGACACACACACACACACACACACACACACACATACACACACACACAAACAACTGCCCTTTAGGGTGATACGCTGTCTATATATACAGTCAAATCTCTCATCAACGGACTGGGGTAGAGTAAAGCCGATCGTCTGTAGATGGCAAGAGATTATTTTTCAGTTATAAAACCACTATAGCAACTACTAGTAGTTATGATCATAATGTAAATACTATATATGGCGTAAATAAATAAATACTTAATGTAGATATATCAAGAAAAATAACAAAAATAATAGATTTCTCGCAGCTACATTCTCACGCATGCGCTAATGTATCGTACTTTCCATCTTTGTTTATAGTTGAAAGGCCCGCCACCACCGACAAGCGGTCACTTTAGGAACTAATACGACTCGTTCCGCTAAGCCCGCAATTTTTCAAATACATACATTGCTGACGATTTGGAATTTTTT